TTGTCACGATTATTTCACACGCGCACGCGCACACGCACACGCTCACGCAAAATTCTTTCCCTCGAGAAAAAATAAAAAAAAAACCTTTCGACGGTGCTGACTGACAAAAAAAAAAAAAAGAAAAATACGTGATCAAATTTAATGATCCGATATTATTGACACGACAAAAAAAAAAAAGAAAAGAAAATTCAAAAGAAAAGAAAAAAAATTTATTATTATTATTATTTGGCGTTCGATTTGTTCCGGTTAAATTTATTCTTACGAATATACAAATAATACAAAGAAAGGTCACAAAGGTCGAATATAAATATTAAAACCTTTGTTTGTCATTTTTTACTGGAATCTCCCATTTTCGTTTTTCCAAAATGTATGAGTAAGTACACATAATGATGATTAATGAACTATTTTGTTTTTCCTCCTCCCCTTCTCCTCCCCTCTCATCCCCCCATTGGAAATTAAACTCCATCGTTAAAATCTTTTCCGAACGTCTTATTATTATTATTATTATTATTTTTCTACAACAAGACCACGATAACTTTAATAAAAAATAAAAATAAAGGGAAAAACCTTATTTTAATACTATTAGAATTTTCTAGAATCTTTTCCCACGCCACATTTAAATTTACTAATTAGGAATAATAATTAAAAACTATTACGGAATTAAAAATAAAAAATTAAAAAAGGCGAGCGCGTTCATGATTTCAACAAAAAAACGTTTTTTTTAACGATGACGTAATTAAAAAGAAAATGGCGGATGAGTTTTTCTTTCGCAATAACGATTCGAAATAGGAGGAGGAGGAGGAGGAAAAGGGGAAAATGGTCATAATCGTAAAAAGGGTAATTGGAAAATTTTTTTTTTAAAATCACGTGATTGTCAAAAATTAAATTTAATGCGAATGATGATTTTTTTTTATACGTAAAACGCGGGAAAAAGGAAAAATTCGAAAATTTTAAAGAAATCGAAACGGAAAGAGGGGGAAAATAAACATAAAAAAGGCGCCAATTTTTTTTTACATTTTCGAAATTGTAAAAATTTCAAAAATTTTAAATTGTTTGTTGTTTTTGCCAAATCTGGATTACGAAAAAAAAAAAAATTTCTCAAAATTTTGTTTATTTTAACCATTTCCGGTTTTATTCAAATCATTTAAAAAAAAAAAGGAAAAAAAAATTTTATAAAAGATTTCGAGAAAACGAAAAATTTCATTTTGAAAAAATTGTCGCCGAACATTTATTTATTTATTTATTTTTATTTTTTTTAAAAAGGCGACATTTGTTTTTAATCCGCGACAAAATCTTTGAGAAAAACAAACAACAAACAAAAACCCAAACGATTTTTATCAATTTCCCATTCTCCCTTTTTTTTTTTCGTTTTAAATAAAAAAAAAAAAAAAGGAAAATTTTCATTTAAATGCAAAAAATATTTAAATATGTAAAAAAAAAAAATAAAAAATAAAATAAAACCGGAAATAGTTTAAAATTTTCTTTAAAATATTTCAACAATATGTAAAAAAAAAAAAAAAAACACCGAATCGAAAAGGTTTCCATTACCTTTTTAAATTTTTTTTTTTTTTCCCCGGGAAATTTAAATAAAAAACGTAAAATGCACTTTGACAATTTTTTGTTTTTTTATTCCTTTCCTCCTCCCTTCCTGTTTTCCCTTCCCCCGCCCACATGTTTTTTTATATTAATATTTTCCCGTAAGGTTTTTATTTTTATACAATCAACAAACTCATTGTTACCCTCGATAAAAAAAAAAAAAAAAAAAAAGAAAAAGGAAATGATGTAAAACTGTAAAAACTCGTTCACGTAAAATTACCCCCTTCTCTCTCTCTTTCTCCACTCTTACTCCTCCCTTTAACTTTTTATTTGCTCTCTCCCTAATAAAAAAAAAAAAATGTCGGGGATTAATGTAGATACGTAACCGTAAATTAAGAAAACTACTTAGAGTCATTTCCGGTTTGGAAAAGTTCAACACATATGCGCAAAGAGGTGGAGGAAAAAAATTCATATTACTAATTAAGAAAGGGAGAAAAAAATCGGGAGAATTTTTTTGTTTTCCGTTTTAAAGGGAAGAAAAAGGTTTTAGAGGGGAAAGGGCGGGAAGGGAATTTTTTTTTGGTTTTTCGTTCCCTTAAATTCAAATAAAAACAATTTTAAAAAGTTGATTTTTTAAAATCCTAACGTAAAGAATTTTCTTCATCTTTATCTCGAGGTTTTTACATTGTTGTTGTTGTTTTCGTAACTACCCATTATTGTTATTAACATCATTATGACTATTATCATCATTATCATTATTATCATTATCATTTTTTTTTACGTTTACATATATACATAAATAAATTTCTACGAAATAAAATTGTACAAAATATATATATTTTTTTTTTTTTAATTTTCATTTTATATTCAAAAGAAAAATTTTATTTATTTTTATGTTTTTTTTTTTTTTTTTCAAAGGAAAATTTAAAAATTACGGTTGTGGATTTACTTCATTTTCCTTTTTCTTTTTACCTTTTTTACCTTTTTAAAAAAAAATGAAAAAAAAAAAAATTGGAATTTTCAATCTTTACATCGAGGCGGATTTTTTTTTTTTTTTTTCGAAATATTTCTTTCAAAAAAAATAAATATTAATAAATAAATAAATAATAATAATAATAAATGATTTTTTTTTTGAATTTTATAGCAAATTTATTTTGCTATAATTTTTTATTAAAATTTCATAGCAAAAAAAAAAAATAAATCGGATACGGAAAAAAAAAAAAAAAAGGGGAAAATTCAACGGGTTTTTTATTTTTTTTTGATGAATTTCCCGTGATTTTGTTTTTTCCCAATTTTCTTTCGTTTTTTTTTTTGGGGGGGGGGGTTAAAAAAAAATTGGCAACACTGACATAGTATGTAAAAAAACATGTCGACCAACTATTTAAAAAAAAAAAAGACTTTTACAAACAAAATATTTAATTTAAAAATAAATTGGGGTTTTACGCATAAAAAAATAACATCCTTGATGACGTCATATTAGTAAAAATGAAAAATCTTAATGAAAAATCCGGCGGAAATGACGAAATAAGAGAACACAATCGTGCGTAAAACCTTGGAAAAATGTTTTAGGAAAAACCCCACTCCCTCATCGTAATCACCGGCACAACCGGAAGTTGCGTAAAAAAGAAAAAAACTTCTTTAACGCTCTAAATCGTTTCCTGTCGGATTAAGTGTAAAAATGATGATTTCCGGTCGAAATCGTTCCAGTATCTGGACAACTGGAATAATTTAGGAATTATAACGTCTTAACAACCCTCGTCAAAATTTTTTCCTTTTTTTTTTTATAAAAGAAAATTCAAAACGATACTATAAAGTGAGAAATTTCTCTTTTTTTTATCTAGTGCCACGAACCGTTACAAATATGTTTCGGCAAAAGATTTAAAATTATTAAATAACGCGCCTAAAAATTCACATGATTTAATCCTGGGGAAATTTTTTTTTTTTTTTTTTTTTTTTTGCGTTTATTTAATTAATGATTTTCCAACATGGGGGTATTGGATGGGGGGAGACGGGAGTGAGGGGGGGGGGGTAAAAAATGAATGATGTGATTCTGATATGACGGCAATAAAAAATTTTTTATCAGTTAATGATAAAAATAAACTTATTGAATGAAAAAAAAAAAAAAATCAATTTTTTTTTCTTTTTTTTTTTTTTTTGCTATCGTCCCTGTTTTTCTTTTCATTCTTTTTATGGGGAACTATAGCAAAAATTTAATTAAACTATCTTCTTAAAAAAAAAATAAAAATAAAAAATTTAATTAATTTAATGAAATTTCAAACGAATAATAATAATAATAATATATAAAATTTTTTTTTTTGAAAATAATATCAGGAGTAAAAAAATTATTTTTTTTATAGCAAATCTATGCTACCCTATAATTACTATATTTTTTATAGCAAAAAAAATTTTACACGATCTATTAAATCATCGAAACGAAATTTTTTTTTTTTTTTTTTAATTTTGATTTTTTTTGGGTTTTTGTTTTTATTCCACAATAAAAAAAAAAGTTTTATGTTTTTTCGTACGTGGAAAAAACAAAAAAAAAAAAGGTTAAAGGTCATAAGTCGAAAGGTTCACATTATAAATTTATTGGATAAAAAATTACACGCAAGAGTTTTTGTTGCTTCGTGGGAGTAGAGGGGAGAGTAGGGGAAGGAGGATAAAAAAATTTTTTTATTTTCATTTTCATTTGAGGAATTTTTTAATTTAATACCGAATCGCGATAGCACGTCGTCGTCGTCGTCGTCGTCGTCGTCGTCATCGTCAAAGGTGATTACGTGGCAGAAGAATTTTAAACATGTTTTCAACCCCGAAATAAATAAACGACCTCAAATATTAATAATAATAATAATAATTTCGTAAACTTTTCCTTTTTTTTTTTTTTTTTTTTTTTTTTTTTTTTTTGAATTTCCTTCCAATTCTTTTGATGTAAGAAAATCCCAAAAAAAAAAAAAAAATTTTTTTTAATTTTTTATTTTTCCATAAAGTAAAAAAACCTTTTTTAATATTTGAAACGGGGGATTAGACAAGCTTAACGTGGCGTATGGGGGAAAAAAAAACAAAAAAGAAAAAAAAATTTTCTTGTTTTTCTTCTTTTTTTTTGAAAACCGGCGAAACCTTTTTTTTCGCGGGAAATTCTAATATACGCGCACGCGCACACTTTCACTCTCACACACGTACGAAATAAACATTAAAAGAAAAAAAAATTATTATTATTATTATTATATTATTAAAACTTTCGCGGGATTCCACTCCACAATTTTTACTTAAATTTTTTG